ATATACATGTATATTTAGTTACGGTTGTTATGTTCGGGTTAATAAAACCCGCTACAGTCTTAAAGTTTAGTAATTAATGTTATGGATAACAGCGTAATAACTTTGCAAAATAGAATATTTTCAACTCAATTCGCTCTTATTTTCCCGACAATAATATGTTATCGCATCCTAGCGCTGAGCTCAATTCCGTGAAGGCGAAACACAATGTCGTGTTCTCTGAACATATAATTAAAACGTTTGGTAGCCTTTACTAATGTTCATTTATAGTAAAAAACGTATTAACCACAATTTTTGGTCCGCAGCGTTTATTAACTTAGAAAGTGCTTTAGTATATCAAAAAAAACATTTGATTTGGCCAGAGCTGATCAAACACGTCGTTTACCAAATACTGAGCTAAATTGAAGTTTTTTCTAGTAGTTTTAACTACTGCCGCAATGCAAGTATCAATAGCGCAGGACAAAAATAATCCTCGCAAAATCAATGCAAGCCCTTGAAATCACAAATCCGTCGATAACAACAAAATTACTGGTTAACCGACCTCGCGAAAGCCCTCGAAGGAACATGAACAAGCGGCTTCAAAGAACGACTCGTCCGTCACAGGTAAGTATGCGGATAAGTTACCAAGCACTGGCAGTGGTATCCATCCCCTCACGGGAACTATTACTTGCGATTCATAATCGTCTGAGAAGCGTAGTTCATCGAAGTCGGAAAACCGAAGAGGATCCTATGTGTAGCCAAAAAGCAACACGAAAGTGTTGCACCAGGAAGTGGCCTATAGCGTCAAAGGAACGCAAAATGCCACTGATAGGGAACACTTTTTATGATACAGGGTCCGCCTGAATTACCCGCGATTATTCCCATCAACCGGTATTCCGACGACATTAAGTTCTTCCATGAATTTCTGAAAAAAAAGTGCTGGTACCCAATATGTCAAACGAGGTGGACAGATCAGTTCAACTGGATAAACGGCCAGAGAGCCCGCCTGCACCAACTAGACCTAGTTCTTTTAGTGTCATTATGAACAGTAGTCAGGACGCCAGGCCCATTTTGTCTAGGCTCTTTAAGATAAATACTACAACCCTAGAGTTTTATTTTTTTTAAAGACTTCTTACCTGCGAAAAAGAAAAACATTGTCAACTTGTCACCGAGCCGAGACAGAGCCTCAGCGGAGGGGAACAACATTTGGTTATTTAGAACAACCAAGTGATCCAGCGTCAGCTGTTCTCCCCCTGGACATATCCTTACCGGATGACCGCGCAGTCGACCCAATAAACGGCGGGTCGAGCCTGACCGTAACCACTTCTCGGGCAAACCGCAAACCATTCGTGTACACCAATGCACAGAGTATGCTATTAAAGCTTGACGAGCTGAAGATTCATGCATGTGAAATGTCACCAGATATAATTTTTCTAAGGGAAACTTGGTTGTCTGAACACGTGGACGGCCGCGAGGTGACCATGCCTGGCTACCAACTGTTCAGAAAAGACAGGGAAGGACACAAGGTGGTGGCGTACTGATATATGTGAATAATGGACTAAGCATTTTAGACAAAATGGATAAACTGGCGATCTGGCTGCCCATTAAAGTACCAGGTGCATCAAGTCTCGATGTCCTGACACTCTGCGGAACGCCAAGAAGAGATTCCGTAGTGGATTCCTCCTTGTTGGAGGTGCTTGCAAAGATTTCTAAACGGTTGGGTATCCTGATCGTGTGTAACTTTAACGCGCCTCGCCTCGACTGGAGCTCGGCCTGGGCACATAGCTCAGGCCTGGCCTTCGACGGTTGCCTTCAGAGCAGGAATATAAAATCCTTTCTTACACAGTACGCTACGTTTCCAACAGATGTGCACGATGGCCAACAGGCCAACTGTCTGGAGCTCGTTCTCCCGAAATCGCACAACTGCATCGGCGATTTATCATAACTACTTTCGCTAGGTAAAAGTGAACACGTTGTACTGCAATGGTAGTATTTGTTATTTTCAATACCCGGTGAACCAAAATAGTCATTAAAAATATTTGGCGAGGTGATTTAGATAAAATGATGGTCGACGGCTGATGGTGGGAACCTCTTTTTTAGAAACATAACCACGGACTAGGAAAAGTTCCGGGACATACTCCACAGGCTCATCTAAAAAGGTTGACCGAAAGACGGCAATGGCTTACGCAGGCCTTAAAATAGAAGTTAACAAAAAGCGGGAGCTGTGGAAAAAGGCTTGTGGACAGGGCTCCTGCATCTCTTAGGGCGTACAAAATGCAGAGAAATCACGTCAAGAGTCTTCTTCTTAGATCAGGACGGGATTTCAAAGCAGACCTGTTGAACCGCGCCACAGTGAACCTCAAAATTTTTATAATAACCTCACGCAGATTACCAAAATTAAGTATCCGATACCCCTGGTGAGGACCGCCGAAATTATAGACCTGATAGAGAACGAACCAAAAGCTCATCGTCTTTCGGAATTATTTTGGTCAGTTTTCACAGAGGAAACGGCATACGATTACCCTGACGACGATAGCGACGTGGATACAATAGTTGAGATTGTTCAATTCACTGAGGCTCTTATCCTTAAGGAACCCTTAGGGTTAAAGAAATGAAAGTCACCGGGTCCCGATGAAGTACCGACCAAGAGCTCACAAGTTAGTTTTTCTCATTCGTGGACACTAATGCAAGGAGTAATTGTAACTGAGGATCTCTCCCGAAATTTATTGTGTCATTAAATTTTACAGCTATAACCATCTTCAAGTTACTTGGGAAAATCACTCTCTACGATCTTGAAAATATCCTTAAAGGCCGGATGCCTAACAGCCGACTGGAAAACCGCGAGCATGACGCCGCCCTATAAGGGTGGAAGCCGGGCCTCAGCAAAAAATTATCGACCGGTCAGCCTTAGTGTAGTCTGTAAAAAAATTATGGAAAAAATAACCAAGCAACAACTTATGCAGTTCGTGGAACCAAATGATGCGCTATCGGATGGTCAGCATGGTTTTCGTAGAGGTAAGTACTGAGTAAAAAAGTTGTTCTACTGTTTACAACACTGGACTGAGGCAGTAGATAGGGGGACATTAGTGCGCACAGTCTATATTGACTTCAAAAAGGCTTTCGATAGCGTGCCGCACTACCCCTTTCTTTATAAACTCAGTCGCGTAGGAGCAAGAGGTAGGCTTCTTGCATGGATAGAAAGCTTCCCAATCGGCCGCTCGCAAACTCTCCATATCAGCGGCAAACAGTCAATGAATTATGCGGTTGAGAGTAGTGTTCCCCAACGCTCTGTTGTCGGCCGTTTTTGTTAATTATCTACAACAGTAATTGCGTCAGCGAACTGGATTGCGATATCACCATGGCACGTAATTCCAACTGCGGCTAACAAAGAGAAGTTGCAAATGAACTGAAATTGGCTCCAAAAATGGTAAAATGACTGGCTCTTGCCGTCCAATTGAAGCAAGTGCAACACCATTCAAGTCGAAAAAATCAGTCTTTCAAGTGGCACGGTTTGCCGACTAAACGACATACCACTGAAAGAAGTGAGCGCCCAGAAGGGATTGGGAGTCTGTACAACACCCTCGATTAAACCATCCCTGCAATGCGCAAAGGCAGCCAACCCTGCGATGTCGGTTCTTTACCTCGTCAAACGAGCTTTTTCTGTCTTCACTGACGACTGTTTCATCAAAAGTCTTCGGAACCTTCATGCGGCCGCAATTGGAGTCCGCTAGCCAAGCTTGGAGCCCCTGGGTGGCGAAAGATATCGGCACCCTCGAAACTGTCCAGCGGAGTGCAACCAAACTTGCCATTGGACATGGTTCATAGTCTTATGAAACAAGTCTGTCAAATCTCGATATCTTTCCCTTGGGCTACAGACAACTTCGGGAGATCTGATACTAATATTCGGCATATTACGCGTTCAGGA